AGAGATTTCAACTGTTGTTGCAGTTGCCATACAATGAAATCAGTTTTAAATTACATTGTTGCTGGGTCACCTGGGTGGCTCAGTCTGTTAAGCACCTGGCTGTTGATTTTGGCTCAGGTCATGATCTCAGAGTTGTGAGATCAAGCCCCGTGTCCCGCTCAGGGCTGAGCAGGAAACCTGCTTAAGATTCTCTCTCTCCCTCAGCCCCTCCCTCTCCATTCTCTTTCTCCCTTTCAAAAAAAAAGAAAAAAGTTATGATGTTGTCCTTCTGTTTCCTTAGAGAATTTGAAAATCTGTTAAAAGGGTAACCTGGTGATAATTACCTGATTTGTATTCAGGTGATTTTCTATTATAAGTTTATTATATTTGTTAATTTTATTTGTTAAATTCAGGAAAGCTAATACATGTCATTTGCATCTGAGAAGGAAGAGCCTTTTCTTTGCCTTGCACTTTAGAAATATTTCATATTCTTCACTATCCATGCGCATCTAAATCAGCTATCACTTAAAATCTTGGTCTTATTTCTTTTTTCAGAAGGTTCACCACTGTTTTGCTTTATTTGTTGCAAAGATTATTCCCAAAAGAAACTCTATGAAATTATGAGTACTTTTTCCAGCAAATGGGAATTTAGAGAACAAGTTTTTTATTGTTTGTGATGGGTTTTTTTCCCCTAATGAGAAATGAGTTAATTTTGCTTTCATAAAAACTTGTACATCAAGATGAATGAATTTCTGGTGCTTCCTGGAGACAGAGCATTATTTTGAAGAGTCTTTGCATCCCAATCATTGCAAAGGGAGTTCCATCATACAGAACACCAGACTTCTGTTTCAATGAGGGTGATCCTTCTGGCCTTTCACCACTAATATTTTATTTTTCAAGAAATTCCCCTGGAGAACTGAAGTAAGGATGCCATTTCTCATTCCAACAGTTGGCGATGGAGCCCAAGTAGCTGGAATTTTACATGTATCCAGGGAATTCTGTTGTGGAAGCTATACAGAACAGACTAAGAGGCTATTCTGGTTTTCTAAATGCCATTCAATATGTAATGAGGAAAAAAAACAGCATTATCTTACCAGTTTCTGGTATTAAAAATGGATGGCTCTTCCTTGAATTCTTTCATTGTAGACTCATTCTAATTGACTTTGAGTCAAGACTACATCTGATTTTTTTTTTCCATCTCTGATAATTAACATAGGAACAGCCACTGGAATGAGGGCTGAGGTCAGGGTCCATATTAAGGCAGCAAACATAGAAGGAACCCTTGATGTTGGCTGAGAAGATGTCCAGAAACAATATGGCAGAATAGCAGGAGGCAGGGAACACCAGTGACACAGGTGGCCAGACTGGTCTGTTTTGAATAAGGTCTTTGGAATCAGTCCTCAGTGTGAGTGCCAAGAAGAAATCACAATCTTTCTCCCTAATTGCTGCTACCAAAAATGCGAGAAAACATTCTCAACCTAAGATGCTAAGGTTCCTGTGGCCAGGCCTGTGTTTACCTACACACCAGTCATTTTTCAACAATAACAAACCTGAGGATGGGAGTTCTTACCCTGCATTGATAAGGTCCAAGTTGACAATTTATTTGAAAACTGTTATTTAGACCAAATTCAGTGCCTACTTAAAGAAAGGGATCAAGGTAAGGAGAGGTAATACATTAATGATTGCATGGCTTTTATTGAAGGTATTTTGTTGGGTATAATGCTTTCTGAAGCAGAAACGTAAAAGACAAAATTCATTATTCATGCTTTCTTCATATTGATACAGATAATGACTGTATAATGAAAATTGGTCTTCTGCCATGGGCATAACTCTGAGTCTCTCAGTAATAAATATTTTCCAGGACCAGGGGATTTATATTCAGGAATCATCTTCACAAAGCAAACTTTGTCTCAAAAACAAGGCTCTCATATTTAAGCGATGCTTGCTATATTGCTAAGAGCTTTGTGTTGTTTATTGACATTTATATCAAATACGAATTAGGAAACTTAATTATAAAATGGTCCTAATCATCCATAAGTGTTTTAATCAGTTTATATTTATTCATTTTTAAACTAAATAGAGAAAAACTCTTGTTTTCTTTCAGTAAATCCAGAGCAGTCATTCCGGGCTGAACAATAGGAAATGTGGGAAATGTTCTGGTTAGGTACTCAACAGGTTAGATTTTAAATCTGCATATTGAGCATAGGCAAATATAAACTCACTGAACTATTGGATTAAGTGCTGTATGTTTTCATTTACTTATGTTTAGGAAACAGTTTAAAGTATTGTTTGATAGGTTAGTTTCACTTGATGCATTGTTTTGAAGTAGCTCTTGTTTGGTAGAACATGATGCTCCTGGTACTGGAACCTAATAAATTTTTGATAAGAGAGAAGAGATTTCACCTTCCAGTAGAAAACATTATCAGAGTAATTTTCATTGTATACCTAAGGAATTTTGGTATTGTCCAACTTTAATGATTTAGGAAAATCCTAGACACCACAAGAACATCAGAAAATCAGAAGTAGGTAAAACTGGTAAGTTGAGTCTGTACATAATCACTCATGAGACTCATTCAATAGCATGATCATTATTTCTCTCTGCCAGTGAGCTGAAAACTGGGTGGTGAATGTGGTTCTGAAGGAAGGACCATAGTTGTGGGTCAACAATTTGCAAGATTTGGTTCTATAGTTCTGTGGGTAGTTGGAATTGACTGATAGAAGACAGGTGATTTTTCCAACAGTGGTATCCACCATCAATAGAACATGGTGAATTTGGAGACTAGGTTAGCTGAAAAGAAGAGAAATAGTTGCAATTCATTTTTTAAATTGTCGACCTTCAGTCAGAGAAAGACAAGTATCATATGATCTCACTGATATGAGGAATTTGAGAAACAAGACAGAGGATCATAGGGGAAAGGAGGGAAAAATGAAACAAGACGAAACTGGAGAGGGAGACAAACCATAAGAGACTCTTTAATCTCAGGAAACAAGCTGAGGGTTGCTGGAGTGGAGGCGGATGGGAGGATTGGGGTGGCTGGGTGATGGACACTGGGGCGGGTATGTGCTATGGTTAGCTCTGTGAATTGTGTAAGACTGATGAATCACAGACCTGTACCCCTGAAACAAATAATATGTGTTAATAAAAAAAGTGAAAAAAAAAACACTATAAATTGACCTTATTTAGGACACTAATGCATTGTTTATCCTAGTAATAAATCAATATGTATGGTTATCAGTAAATGTTTGGCACTTTCCAAGGCAGAAAAGTAACCCCTGGATATAGTCATGTATGTACAGAACCACTGAAACATTGTGAGATTTTTTTTAAAACTTACAAATTTAACTTTATTTCATCATTGCCATTTAAAGCTTAATTTTATAAAACATAAAAAGACATTTTTAAGAGTTCTGTATCACAGGAATTTAAACAGTAGAAATATCCATACCTTGGTAGGTTCATGTTATATAAATTAAAACCAAATAATTGGGGCACCTGGATGGATCAGTTGGTTAGGCAACTGCCTTCAGCTTGGGTCGTGGTCTCAGGGTCCTGGGATCGAGACCCACGTCAGGCTCCCTGCTCAGTGGGGAGCCTGCTTCTCTCTCTCCTCCCCACTTGTACTCTCTCTCACTCTCTCAAATAAATAAAATCTTTTAAAAAATTAAAAAATAAAACCAAATAATTGAAAATTTTTTCAATATGGGAACTATACAGTGAAATAAATGGCAAAGGACCTAATAGCAATATTTCATTACTTATGGATAATCATTAGCTGCTTTCAGGATCTAAACAAAGGCCATTGCTTAAATGTTTTAAAACCATTTAAAAGTCACTGAGGTTGACCTTTCAAATCCAAAACTATATGACATCAATAGCTACTGAATAAAGAGCATATGCACATACTTGCTCTCTTTCTCTCTCTCTTTCTCAGTTTCATAATATGCTTTTCATTTTGGCTAATTTATTTATCTTTACATGAATAGCTTTATTTTTCTAAGGCTTCAAATAGATCACCACTAGAGCTAATCTTGGCATTTAAGTCCAGAGAAGTTCAAGTGTACTCTGGAAGAAATAGATTTATAAATAAGAGCAAAGGGCACCTGGGTGGCTCAGTTGGTTAAGCGTCCAACTCTTGATTTTGGCTCAGGTCATGGTCTCAGGGTCATGAGATCAAGCCCTGTGTTGGGCTCTGAGCTCAGTGGGGAGTCTGCTTGAGATTCTCTTTCCCTCTGCCCCTCCCCCCACTCATGCATGCACACTCTCAAGTAAATAAATAAATCTTAAAAAATAAATAAGGGTAAAAATATTAGTAAATGAGAGACTGTATATCCAAGCAACAGAAATTCTGCATCACAACAAACTATGTCCAGATGGCCAGGAGATAAATCAGTGTCAGAGAAAGATGATCTTTTCACATGGGCCGACCAGCAGCTCCATTGAAATTGACCGAAATAAAGGTGGCCAATTTATCATTACTTTCACCAGTTTCTTTTTCTAATGACTATGGACAAGTAAGGGTTAAAATTTAGGGCTTGTTTGTGTACGATTCATCAGAAAGCCGCATATTAGGATTCTTATTTTACCATCCCAATGGACATATTCTAGGGGAAGGATGCAGGATCCCCAGCCACGGTAGTCCGAGAAGTGGTCCCGTTGGACCTGCGCCGCTGCCCCAAGGATTTTCCTATAGTAGAGATCCAAGTAATGCCTTTCTTTGCTTGAAATTCTGAGGCGATTTCTCCCATAGCTTCAAATTCTTTGGTTTACGTACAAAATACCCTTTATGATCTGGCCTTAGTCCTGGCATTTATCACATTCTCCATAGTTACCGGTCCCCTTTATGCCTCTGCCACTCTGTAGTGAGCTCCCAGAGGGTAGGAAATACATCTTACTCACTTTAGTATCCCCAGTGCTAGGTCCGTTAAGAACCTTGGGAAGTATTTGTTGAATAATGGAAGAGATGAATGGAAACATTGCTGTCCTCTAAGACCTAACATGGCTGTGTTTTTCCTTCCTCAAGGACTTTGGCATTATGTTCCTGCATCACCTTGTAGCTATTTTCTTGATTTCCTTTTCATACGTCAACAATATGGCCCGAGTTGGGACCCTGGTCCTCTGTCTTCATGATTCAGCTGATGCTCTTCTAGAGGTAAGAGTTTCCTTTCATCTTTAAGAGTTTGAAATCTAGAATTCAGGAAATCCCCAAGACCATCAGTTCTTCTATGTTATTCTGTATCGCCCTGGGGGAAGATAGTATATGATTGATATATGAGAGTATATGACTGATTTTAAACTGCAAAGTGTTTCTTTGTAAGTTAAATTGGTAAAAATGAGACTTTAGTCCGTACATTTTTATACAAAGCATGTTCATCATCTTAGCATTCTTTATTAGTAGAATAATGAAAACCTTTACTATCCCACACTTAAGAAATGAATGTTTTACAATCGGAAAATCATTACTTGAAAAGGTTTTGTTTCTGGTGTTATAAGTTTCACACTGATCTATCTGTGAAGTACATACAACTCAATTTAGTTATTAATAGTTGTACATCCTGATGACATTAATTAGTAATCATAGTTTTTATTGCCAATAGATGTATTATCCTAGTATTTTTACAGTGAAAAGTGTATATGAATTGTAAATTAAATATAAAAACTTTGTTCTCTACATGTATAAGTATAAAGAGTATTTGAGGAAATATTGGTTGTATTTTGATAAACTTTCTAAACCATTATCATTTAGGATTATTAAAGTAGCAAAAAAAAGAAGAAAAAGAAAAATGCTTCAAGCATATTTCAAAAGATAAAATCCCAAGGAATATTTTGATGTGGTATTTACTCTTACTTATGGCCCCTATGAAGAGACATAGTGTTATATAATTGAATAAAAGACTTTTTACTTTATGTTAAGAAATTTATGTGACTGGTGAAAGATAAACTTACCAGAGTACAAATTTCATGTAGAAATGGGTCATAGAATCTGTATTCTGAGTTTTTATTCTTGTTGGTCCACACAGTTCTGCCCCTTGAAGTATATACTGTCACTTTGAATATAGAGGTGCTCTCAAATAATGATCTATTATTACAGTATAAGCAGAAATTCCACATGATGAAATTGAATCTACTATAAAGATGATTAATCAAGGTTTGAAATATATACAGCACTTCATTAAAAACTCTGTTCCTTATAAGATTATGAAATAGAAAAACAGTCCTAATGGGCTAGATATGTCAGATGATAGTGTGGCACTATAATTTTTAAGTGACTCAAGCTAAACTCTGTTTAGCATATTTTTTTAAAAAGAGAAATATAGTTGTATAAGGGCAGTCTCCTGTAAACCAGGTATCATTTGGTTAAATCCTAAGTATGCTTGAAAGTGGAGATTTATACAACAATATATAGTTTCCAAATTAATCTTGTACAATCTGCCAACTTTAATGTCTGTGGAAATGGCTGGTTGAATCTTTGTCCATCACTTTTACCCAGAAAAGAAAAACAATCCGGAAATGCCAGTCATGTGGCTTAAAAGCAAATATTCTTCATCACATGGATTTTCTTTACATTATACAATAATGCTTGAGAATATCTAAATAATGAGATATGTCAACTATCAACTCTTTGAAGTGGGATCTATGACCTAGACATTTCAGAAAAATTGCATGTTTGATACTTTTCTATTGAATACTGTTGAATGAATATAAGAGAAAAATGGTTTACCTAGGCAGAAGGAGGCAGAAGATGCTTTTTTTCTTTCTTACTTTAATTCGTGATGTCACACCCAAAGTATTCATGAAATGGAAAGTTCATAATCCTGGTTTCTGTTCAGTTAATGGATATTTTTTCTTAGTAATCCATTTCTCTCATCGCTCTGTGTTTTACTTAAAGCTGCAAAAATGTAGCTTCTATGGATACTGTCAACAGTCCTTTCAGGTTTGACTCAGCTAATTTAACTTTCTAAGAAGTAGAAAGTAATGTTATGAATTCAGCAAGACATCTTCAGTTTATAACCCTGTGTGTGGGTGCATGTGAATTCTATGTGAAAATGTAAAAAGAGGTGATCAAGCAAAATTATCTTTTCAGTGTCACCTATTGTTACTTTAGAATCATCTGTTAAAAAGTGTGTAGATGGTAGGAAAAGGGAGGTAATCTCTTCCCTAATTTATAATATAAAAAATGGTCACTTAAATTACTATCATGAATTATTAGGGTAATTCTTACAGACACTTGGAACACAGTGACTTTCATCTAGAAAATGATCCATTAATGTAACTTTGAAAATTATACCTAAATGGATTCATTGAAATAACATGATCTTGATGTGTTCTTTATTTCTAAATTTATGAGAATAAGCCAAGAAACTGTCTCTCCAGAATATTCCTTAATGACTATTTAAGGAGAACCTTTCATTCTAAGGAGAAAGAAGAAAACAATGCAGAAAGGCTTCATATAATCTGTGTGAAGTTTGTGGCCTTAGTGTTTGGGGCTCATTAGAGTTTTAAAGGATTACCTAGCACTTTCTACTTTGGCCTGTTATGCCAAATTCCTGTGTTGGTGTCTTTGCCTTGCTAATATCATCTATAATGCAGGAATTTTCTTATTTTTGTTTTCCTGAGATCATATAATTGAATTTTTCAGGTTGCTGAATGTTTTATTAAATCTGTGACAGTCCATAGTTTTACTTATAGCTAATGTTGCATTTCGCTCAACTTATGGGTAATTTATAAATACTGATGCATGATGTATGACATTTCAAAGTAGCAGGCGGTTTTATGCATCTGGTAAGTTATATCTTATAGGAGACACATGCATTTTGAAAGAAGCTTTTCATTTACCAGTTTAACTAAATTAATATATCACATTCCTTCCTTTTATAGGCTGCCAAAATGGCAAATTATGCCAAGTTTCAGAAAATTTGTGATCTTCTGTTTGTTATGTTTGCCATGGTTTTTATCACCACACGACTGGGTATATTTCCTCTCTGGTGAGTATGCCAGTCTTCTTTCCAATAGAGTCACCCATTCCGGATAAGCTTTACGAGCTATTTTGCTTTTGAATTTCATTCCAAATATTTTAAGAGGTTTAAAGAAAGTGGGGGAGAGACTCAAGAAATGGCTTTGATTTCTTCTTCCAGAAATACTGTACTCTTTACTAATCTTTTCTGTAGGGTAGTTAGAGAAGGATGTGCCTGACAGAGGTCCTGAGACCACAGAAAGCCGTCCGCTATTTTGGGGTCCAGTCTAGAGTATGAATCAGAAACCCTTAACCATGAAAGTTTGAATAAATAAAGGAAACATGGTGTTGCAACCAGTTATATGTCAGGGATCCCTCCTGTACCAGGGGTGTACAAAAGCCTTGCCCCTAGACTGGTAGCAACAGCATCACCAAGGAACTTGTTAGCAATGCAACTTCCTGGGCCCTCCCCACCAGACCTTCTGAATCACAAACACTGGAGTTGGGTCCTGGCAGTCTGTGTTTTGATAAGCCTTTCTGGTGGTTCTGCTCCACATTGAAGTTGGGTACCATGTCCTATGTAATTCTCCTCATCAGCTGTATTTATAGCTAAAACAGATGGAAAGTATAACCTGAAATTCCCTATGGCCTCTTAATGTCTGGATGTCTTTTATTTTGTTAAGAGCTAAGGAAATAATATGACCAGTTTTGATGGAATTTGACAATCCTTTCTATAGAAAATAGGTCCAGTGTCATTAATATTTTTTTCTGGAAGGCTATTACTTGAACTAGAAAAGAAATGAGCCCTCTGTATCACTTAAAGTCTACCACTGATGTATTTTTTTCAATTCTAAGAAATTGATTTGAATGGGAAATTAAAGCAATGGAAATTGGAAAAAGCTGAGAAATGAAGTGATGCAATAATAACTTGCCCCAGTAGAAAAATAATCATTATAGAGTTGGGATTTTTAAAGGAGTATGTCTATCACTGGAGTTCCATAAACAAATTACTAACACACACACACACACCTTCTCTTTGAGGATCTCAGCCCTTTTGGACATTGACTTATTATGAAAATTATTTCAAGAAGCAACATTGTGTGTTAGCAACAAGCGTTTATAATATCTCAGTATAGTTTTATATGCTTATAAGTAGGAAACACATAAAATTTTGCATATAATGTATCTGTAGTTATTCAGGATTGTGTGTCTTTCAAGATTATTAACAGAACTTAGTGGTAAGAATTTAAATAGAAGTAATGTGAGCAAAGTCCAGGACATATTTCTCCAGAGAATAATAGAAAGTTTTCTTACCTAGGATTTCTGAGAATCTGACTTTTAAAGAAATAAGCATCACTCTCAAGTACTTTGATTTGCGTACTTCCCTTTAAGGGTAGAATTAAAATTAGATGTACCCCTTCTCCTCCCCTTCAGCTAATGTGTAAAAAAGCTCTTTAGGTTTAGACAGCAATGAGTTGCCTAGAACGTAGACCGCAGAATATAGAAATTAGGCAATGCTACTAATAAGATAACTCATAGGTATGTCCTGTGATGATGCCAAAAACTAGCCACTTAGAAAAATCCTTATAACCAAATACAAAGCAAGACTTTCCATTGCAAATGTCGTAGGACTTCTACTACCATGCCCCTACATGAGGCCAAGTTTCTCAAGAGGCAACTTGCAGAGAGAAATATTTTATTGTTTGTAATACAAGAAATGATTTATATACTTGATCCCATTGTAGTGGTACATCTAGTGAATGAAATCTTTTTCAGATATGTCTAAGAAGTTGGATTGGTGCCTGGATGACCTTTGTTTCCAATTCCTAGAGTGTAATGGGTATCATTAATGTTTAAAATTATAGTGTGAATAACAGTAGCAAATAGTGTTTTCAGTGTTTTCCTTAATACTGTGAAATTATTTTTAAAAATTCCTTTTAGATTAGGAAATCCTAGAATTGGGAGGGACTACAGGTCACCAGCTCCAGACTCTTCTCCCATCCCCTCTGCCCAGGATAAGAATTCTATTTCCCTAGTCCAGGAGTATTGCTTCAGAGGTTGAAGGAGAAATGGTTTCTTAAGCGAAACAGAAAGCTGGGCCTTTATAACTTATAAACTAAAGGTCCTTAATCTGTTTAGAAACCCCCGAAACAGTATAAAAAGCATATTTGTGTGTGTATTTTTTCCTGGAGGGGAGGGTGCATGGCCTTAGCAGATTCTCAAGGAGATTTGTGACTCCCTTCCCTCCTCAAAAAGTGGCTTCTGGGAACAGAGTAAGTGTACCCTGTCACTTGAAACTGAAAATTCTTAAGAACGTGAAGGTCTCTAACATATCATCTGTAGGCTTTCTCTTCATCAGAAAGCATCCTTAATCCCTTCGATTATTCCTGCCTGTTGTTTGCTCTCCTTTGTTCCTGAGAATTCCTGGTCGTGGTGTTCCAAATGTGGACTGCCTGGTACAAAGTAGAAGAGAACTAAAAACAAGTTTTATTTAGAACTGCATTTCTTTTTTTCTAAGATTTTATTTATTTATTTGACAGAGAGAGAGCACAAGCAGGGGGAGAGGGAGAGGGAGAAGCAGACTCCCCACTGAGCAAGGAGCCCGATTCAGGACTTGATCCCAGGACCCTGGGATCATGACCTGAGCCGAAGGCAGAGCTTAACCGACTGAGCCCGCCAGGCACCCCTAGAACTAAACATTTCTTTAATGCAGCTTGCCATTGCATTAGCTGTAAGCAACCATGACATTGTACTGTCGGTGATCTGATAAACATCTGAGCTCCTGCCAGACTAGATCTCCCTCATCCTAAATTTCTCTCATTTTTATGTATTTTTGTTTCTATTATGATTTATTTGTATACCTAATTATACGGACTGCATTTATTCATAATGCTGTTTTCAAATATTCTAGCCCAGTTAGGATCTTCTGAACTATATCCAGCGCCATACTTATCCCTCCCACCTTTCTGCTACATAAGCATATGCCTTTAATGCTTCCCCCAACTCACTGAAGAAAAAAGTTGACCCAGAGGGACTCCTCGTACACTACTGAAGAATCTCTTTGGGTTGGCCTCAGTCTTTCAACCACCAGTCTGTCTTTATGATTTTACTTATTACTGTGTCATAACTGCTCTGTCATCATGCCTATTTCCCCACATTTTTTTTTGTTTTGTTTTGTTGGGTTTTTTTATAGGTAAATAATTTTATTTATAAATATATACTATACATTAGTTTATTCAGACACAATGCTGTATATTAAATTACACCTTGGGGGCGCCTGGGTGGCTCAGTTGGTTAATCGACTGCCTTCGGCTCAGGTCCTGGTCCTGGAGTCCCGGGATCGAGTCCCGCATTGGGCTCCCTGCCCGGCGGGGAGTCTGCTTCTCCCTCTGACCCTCCCCTCTCTCATGCTCTCGCTCTCATTCTCTCTCTCTCTCAAATAAAAAAAAAATTACACCTTGGTCTTTGCCTTCATTATTCCCTGGACTTGTTACCATTCCTGATTCCAAGTCCCATATTGTTTTTCTTTGTTTTTTTATTTTATTTTATTATGTTATGTTAATCACCATACATCACATCATTAGTTTTTGATGTAGTGTTCCATGATTCATTGTTTGCATATAACACCCAGTGCTCCATGCAATACGTGCCCTCTTTAATACCCATCACCAGGCTAACCCATCCCCCCACCTTCCTCCCCTCTAGAACCCTCAGTTTGTTTCTCAGAGTCCATAGTCTCTCATGGTTCGTCTCCCCCTCCGATCCCCCACCCTTCATTTTTGCCTACCTACTATCTTCTTTTTTTTTTCCCCTCAGGAAACCAACTGAGGGTTGCTAGAGTGGTGGGGGGTGGGAGGGATGGGGTGGCTGGGTGAGGGACATTGGGGAGGGTATGAGCTATGGTGAGCGCTGTGAATTGTGTAAGACTGATGAATCATAGACCTGTACCTCTGAAACAATACATTATATGTCCCCACATTTTTTTAAGGTGTAATCAAAGACTTTGTCAAAGGTCTTGTGAAAGTCAAAATTTACTCTTGTGAAAGTCAGAATTTACTCTCTTGTTTACGGTATCCTCTGCACATGTAGAAGCAGGGTGAAAAAAAATATGAGGCCCACTGGCGTGACTTGATTTTAGGAGACCTTTATTGGCTTCTGGTTCTTCATTTCTAGGCACTCACCCCCATCTGATTATCTATCTGCAACGGTGAACTTATCAGCCTAAAATTTCCAGTCTTTGCCTTTTCTGTATTGTTTTAAGTGTTGACTTTTACCTTCAGTATACCACCATCTTAAAAAATGTGTTTAGTGAGTATTTTTTGGGTACTTACTGTGTAACCAACCAGTAAGGGGCTGGGTACTGCGAATTCGTTGCTCCTTGGGGCACTTGCAGTTGAACCCTGATAGGTTTATAATTTTCTGGTTTATAATTTGGGGGGCCTAGAGATTATAAATTATTTTCTGAACATTTTCTGGAGGTAAATAAGATAACTGGATTATCAGTGTCAAATACTGTGGCTGAGTGTACTAAGAAGCTTTGTCAGCTAAATAGAGCATTATACTACATAGAGACTCTTGTGTGAAACAGTCAGTGGCTACTGGAGGGAAGGTGCTGGAGGTAGATTGGACTTCAGTTCTAACAAGCATTTTATAAACTTCATCCTCCTTCAAATACTTGTGCTTCTGGTGAGAGAAGAAACAAAATTATTCTGTGTGCCCTCTACTTCGTTTAGTTTTCAGTCTATTTATTTTGGAATCCTCAGCAATATCTTCCAGATTCCTCCTGACTATACTTGTGTTCCCACATGAGCCATCAGAATTTTTGTTATTTGTGGGTTTAATAACACTTGGCTCATTCTTTCTTGTGTCTTCAGTCCGTGTCTCACCAAGACAGCATCCACCATGATTAGCCTTTTCAGAATGATACACTGCCCAGATTTTACCTTTGGCCACAATACATCCTTCTAGAATATCACTGTCCAACAGAAATATAACTCAGGCTTCACAGTAATTTTAAACTTTCTAGTAGCC